GGGGATGTGGGGGAAATCAGGGATGTGGGGGGAAACGGGGATGGGGGATAATGAGAATGTGGGGGGAAAATGGGGATGTGGGAATAACGGGAATGTGGGGATGTGGGGATAATGGGAATGTGGGAATAATGGGAATGTGGGGGAAAAATGGGAATGTGGGAGTAATGGGGATGTGGGAAAAACGGGAATGTGGGAATAAAGGGGATGTGGGGATAACGGGTACGTGGGGATAATGGGAATGTGGGGAACAGCGGAGATTGGGGGAAACGGGAATGTGGGGATAACGCGAATGTGGGAGTAATGGGGATGTGGGAATAATGGGAATGTGGGAATGTGGGAATAATGGGAATGTGGGGGAAAAACGGGAATGTGGGAGTAATGGGGATGTGGGAATAATGGGAATGTGGGAATAAAGGGGATGTGGGGATAACAGGTATGTGGGGATAATGGGAATGTGGGGAACAGCGGAGATTGGGGGAAACGGGAATGTGGGGATAACGCAAATGTGGGAGTAATGGGGATGTGGGAATAATGGGAATGTGGGGGAAAACCAGGGATCTGGGAATAACGGGGATTTGGGAATAACGGGGATCTGGGAATGAGGGGAATGTGGGGATAACAGGGATGTGGAGATAATGGGAATGTGGGGGGAACGGGAATGTGGGGATAACGGGAATGTGGGAGTAATGGGAATGTGGGGGAAACGGGAATGTGAGGATAACAGGGATGTGGGGATAACGGGAATGTGGGGATAATGGGAATGTGGGGATTATGGGAATGTGGGGATAACGGGAATGTGGGAATAATGGGAATGTGGGAATAATGGAATGTGGGGGAAACGGGAATGTGGGGATAACAGGAATCTGGGGAACAGCAGGGATCGAGGAAAAACGGCAATGTGGGAATAATGGGAATGTGGGGGAAACGGGAATGTGGGGATAAGGGGAATGTGGAGGAACAATGGGGACTGTGGAGGAAAAATGGGGAATGTGGGGATAACAGGAATGTGGGGGAAATGGGAATGTGGGGATAATGAGAATGTGGGAATAACGGGAATGTGAGAACAGCAGAAATCCAGGAATAATGGGAATCTGGGGAACAGCAGGAATGTGAGAATAACGGGAATCCGGGAATTATGGGAATGTGGCAGTAATGGGAATGTGGGAGTAATGGGAATGTGGGGAACAGCGGGAATCTGGGAATTATGGGAATGTGGGAATATGGGAATAAAAGGAATATGGGAATAACAGGAATGTGGGGATAATGAGAATGTGGGAATAACGGGAATGTGAGAACAGCAGAAATCCAGGAATAATGGGAATCTGGGGAACAGCAGGAATGTGAGAATAACGGGAATCCGGGAATTATGGGAATGTGGGGGAAACGGGAATGTGGGGATAAGGGGAATGTGGAGGAACAATGGGGACTGTGGAGGAAAAATGGGGAATGTGGGGATAACAGGAATGTGGGGGAAATGGGAATGTGGGGATAATGAGAATGTGGGAATAACGGGAATGTGAGAACAGCAGAAATCCAGGAATAATGGGAATCTGGGGAACAGCAGGAATGTGAGAATAACGGGAATCCGGGAATTATGGGAATGTGGGAGTAATGGGAATGTGGGGAACAGCGGGAATCTGGGAATTATGGGAATGTGGGAATATGGGAATAAAAGGAATATGGGAATAACAGGAATGTGGGAATAATGGGAATGTGGGAATAATGGCAATCTGGGGAACAGCAGGAATCTGGGGATATGGCACAGCCCCATCCCTGGAATGGCACAGCCCCATGGGAATGGCAGAGGCCCATGGGAATGGTACAGCCCCCTGGGAATGGCACAGTCCCACCCTTGGAATAGCACAGCCCCATGGAATGGTACAGCCCCATCCCTGGAATCGCCACAGTTACAAAAAAAAATCCCATTTAATCCCTGAACTCTCCCTCCCCTCTGCAGCCACCCCAATTCCCAAAAAAACGCTCAATTTTTTGACTCAAAAGCCACTTTTCCCACTGACATTTCATTTAAGGACAAATCCGAAACAGAATCCTCCCCCTTTTTGCCCAGCTCTGGCGAGAAGAAATCTCTGCACAAAAATCCCGGAGAATTTTGGGTGGGGTGAGACAGAGAGGAGGAAAGAAAGAACAAAGGAAAATACCTGAATAGGAATTAAAATTTGAAGTTTTTACCCCTCTCAAATACCTGAACAGCAATTAAAATTGCCAATTTGCCAATGCTGATTTGAAGAAATTAATTCAATAATTGCMATTCTCCAGGTGAAATCCCAAATAAATGAGGCGCTCAGTCACAATAAACAAATCCCAAAGAAATTAAAGCTCAGTCCTAATAAACAAATCCCAAATAAATGAGGGATTTCCCAATTCAGAAATTCCCACACAATCCATTCTGTGAACTGCCCTAAGCGTCAGATTCCAAAAAAACAAAACATTCCTTATAAAAAATCTTGTCATAAATCTTATAATAAATCTTATAATAAATCTTTTAATAAATCCAGTAAATCTCAGAATAAATCCAAGCCCCAGTTCCATCCAGTTCAAATTTCTCCCTGTTCCCTGTATCTGGAAGCTTCTCCTTGCCTGGGTTTTGTCCTTGGAGAAACCCCAAAGAAACCTCAAATMGACCCAAATTAATCCACATTTGGACCTGATGACCTTGGAGAACTTCCCTAAATTTAATAATTCCCCGGATTCTATGATTTTATAGATTTTAAATGATTTAAATGATGAGYGATTTATGATTTCACATCCCTTATTTAAACAAAACAAAACAAAAATTTCCACCGACACCTCCACGAGTTGAAGTTGACTTTGCTCGACTTTTCCATGGGTTGGGATTTGGGAAGTTGGCACTTTTTGTGCCATTTTGCTCCTGGGGACACCAAAAAAGGGACAAAACCCGAGTTTTGTGCTCACCTGGCAAAGTCCAGGTCGGCCTCACGGGACATGGTGATGTTAGTCAGGTTCTGCTGCAGGATGAAGATGTTCCTGCACATTTTCTTGATGCCGGACTCGCTGATGCGTTTGAAATAATGGGCGCCGTTGATGAGGATGCAGGAGATGAGGTGGCCCAGTCCTGCGAGGGAAAGGGAAAAAAAATGTTTTTATTTAGAGCAAATAATTCATGGGAAAATCCCAAAATGAGTGGTGTTATGTGAGGGATTACTGGATTTTACCTACAAACAGCCCTCGGTACCTTCCCTGTGCCTTTTAGGATTTCCCCCGTGTTCCCTTCTTGTAAAACCACAAAACTGCCCCAAAACTCAAAGCTGTGGTCTCCTAATGTGATCTCTGTCTGGATGGGGTTAAAGGGTTAAAGGACAGGGATGGGGTTAAAGGACATTGATGGGGTTAAAGGGTTAAAGGACAGGGATGGGGTTAAAGGGTTAAAGGACACGGATGGGGTTAAAGGGTTAAAGGACACGGATGGGGTTAAAGGGTTAAAGGACAGGGATAGGTTAAAGGGGTAAAGGACATGGATGGGGTTAAAGGGACATGGATGGGGTTAAGGGAAACAGGATTTTAAAGGACATTTAAAGGAATTTGACCTACAAACAGCCCTCGGTACCTTCCCTGTGCTTTTTAAGATTTCCCCCGTGTTCCCTTCTTGAGTAAAACCATAAAACTGCCCCAAAACTCAAAGCTGTGGTCTCCTAATGTGATCTCTGTCTGGATGGGGTTAAAGGGTTAAAGGACAGGGATGGGTTAAAGGACATTGATGGGGTTAAAGGGTTAAAGGACAGGGATGGGATTAAAGGGTTAAAGGACAGGGATGGGGTTAAAGGGACAGGGATGGGGTTAAAGGGTTAAAGGACAGGGATGGGATTAAAGGGTTAAAGGACACGGATGGGGTTAAAGGGTTAAAGGACATGGATGGGGTTAAAGGAAGGAATGGAGTTAAAGGGTTAAAGGACAGGGATGGGGTTAAAGGACATGGATGGGGTTGAAGGGTTAAAGGACACGGATGGGATTAAAGGACACGGATGTGGTTAAGGGACATCTATGGGGTTAAAGGACAGGGATGGGGTTGAAGGGTTAAAGGACACGGATGGGGTTAAAGGACAGGGATGGGGTCAAAGGGACAGGGATGGGGTTAAAGGGTTAAAGGACAGGGATGGGGTTAAAGGGTTAAAGGGCAGGGATGGGGTTAAGGGACATGGATGGGGTT